CAAATCTTTGATGACTAACTGTAAGTGGCACAATGTAGATTTGTACAGAGCGTGTCTTATACAACATCTGGTCAACCTGGATCCTTAAGTTACTATAGACCTGGTTTACCACAGCTCTAAAAATCCATTAAATACTTTTCCCATCTTTTTCCACTTACTAATACTTGTTTCACTTGTTTGGTTTCTTATTATAATAGGAGCTGGTCTCAATTTCTAAGATTTTGGAGGGAGATCCTGCAAGAGGAGGAGCACACCAACTACTCCTCTTCCCAAACAGTCTCTTCCGCAAAAGTTCATACTTTCTATATAATTTATCTTCTTTTGTCAAAGCTGTGTTTTCACCTCTAGGATATATTTGCACCTTAGCAACCTTTTTACCTATTTTTTGTTGTTTTTTTCACAAACTACAATGTGATTAACAAGAATCACAGAAGCACAATTCAGAAGCACAAATACTTTATGTGTAAAAATAGAAGCTTATTAAAACAATTATACAAAGCAGGTGATAATATAGCATTGTCCCTGATAGAAGTATGCCTGAACCTTACCCCAATTTCCTAGGCTCACGAAGTATGTAAAACTTTTGATCAGTCTATTTCCCTGCAATGAGAATTCTAGTAGTAGGAACAATTCTTTCATCATGATTCTCTCACCTCAACTTGACTGTGCAAATACTAGCGACTCTGGCTATAGACTAACCTGTTGGTTAAGTGCAAAAAATTGTGTTTAGCTATGTTCTGTATGCATACTGACTGATTTTTATTCCAGCCACTAGCCTCTGCCTCTCAAGGTTCAGATCCTCCAAAATGGCCCCCTCTGTGTGTTTTTAACTTATTTCTCTGCACTTTATAAGTTCCCAACTCCAAACTTATTTTCTTCTTCTGACTTAGATAGAAGGTAAATCTCTCAGGCACCAGGCTCAAAAATTATTCTAGCTTTTATTCTTTCAACCAATGTTTCTTGTCAAATGACAGTAGGTAAAATGATAAAGTTCTGTTTTACTCAATTGATTCTTTCTTTCCACACCTACTACTTCTTTAACCTTGAAATGATTTTAGAGTTGTAGTTAAATGTACATGGGCCAGAGCTCAACTCCTTGGAATTAAAACTATTGTAGCCCCTTAACTCTACTTGTGATATTAGTCTAATCTCTTAATTTCTCTGCATCTATGCTTATAAAATGTCAATTAAAAAAAAACATGCCGGGATCCCTGGGTGGTGCAGCCATTTGGCGCCTGCCTTTGGCCCAGGGCACGATCCTGGAGACCCAGGATCGAATCCCACGTCCGGCTCCCGGGGCATGGAGCCTGCTTCTCCCTCTGCCTATGTCTCTGCCTCTCTCTCTCTCTCTGTGACTATCATAAATAAATAAAAATTAAAAAAAATAAAAATAAAAAAAATAAAAAAAACATGCCAACATGATGTGCTTGTTAGGAGGAATAAATATGTTAATACATGTAAATTATTTAAGCCATGTACAGAGTATAGCTCAAAAATAAACTGTAATTATGGCAGTATCTTAAAAGTTTTCCAACTTCAGCCTTTTGTTCATTATTCATTTTAAATCCAGCATATTTTTCCAACTCCTATTTCTAAAGCATTTATACAGTTATGTAACTTTTTATCTTAAATGTTCACAATTCTTACATTGGCAACTGATATGACAAAAAAATTTTAATCTGATTTTCCAAAGATTAGCCATCCTCATCTTTCTAACTCTTCTAGGGTCTAGTACACATGCTAATTATTTGCCTAATTAATGCACTGATATGTTTTTCTAAATACTTTTTGGAATAATATGAAACAAATTTATATATATATGCTTTCAGGTTATAGTGATCAAAAATGCATGTCTAGATGTAAATTTAAAATATTTTAGGACAATATATCAATAAAGAATTTAAGAGACAAAAATAAGGCAAAATTTATATAGCTATTTGTAGTTCTCATTGTAATTTGATACATTGACAATAATTATCTTTGTGGAACTCATAATAGTTTTAGTAATAAATCAGTAGTTTAACTCCTTAGCAACCAGAAGATTACCTTCTCAGCTCCCATTAAGACAAGTGACTTTTCCACCACCATGAATGGTCTCCATCAAACAGAGTGGTGGTCTTGATAATATGAACAAATATATGTAAACAAGGTCTCTAAAAATCAAAGAATTAATGATTATAGATCATGTATTAAAAAATTAAAAACAAAAAATAAAAACAAAAAAAATAAAAAAAATTAAAAACTGTTTATAACAATTCTGTATAATTTCACATCAAACTTAACTAGAAATTATTAATATTTTAAAGTATTAATACTATGTTTACTTAAATGCTGAATCATTTAGGACTAAAGCATACTGATGTCTCTACTTACTTGGCAATACATAAAAAATATAAAATAGTTTGATAGATATGAAAGATGGATACAGGAATAGCCTGATGAAACAAGTACAATAAAAATATTAATTGTAGAATCTAGCTTGTATATCATTATATGAAAGAAATTTGTAGTGATATTACAATTTTTCTATATTTGAACTTTTTCATAATAAAATGTTAGACAAAACAGTAATTCTAATGTTATCTATAGAGAACATTAATGATTGTAATTGAGTTGTTTCAGAGGAAAAATCCCTCATATACCTAAGAAAACATGAGGCACAAAAACTCTAATTTGGGTTTATGTTAAATTTATCTGAATGTTGCTGTAATTTTAAAATATTCATTATCAACAAGAATAATGAAAGTGCAGTCTATGGATTCTTGGACCAGGACAGCCTATCTACCTCTAAACCAGCCAACTTGTAGCCTGATCAAGAATCTTGATGTGGAGAAAGAAAAGAAAAGAAAGAAAAGAAAAGAAAAAGAAAAGAAAAGAAAAGAAAAGAAAAGAAAAGAAATAAGAGTCAGTTTCTCTCTGTGAACTTCCCTAGAAACCACAATAAAATAGCAGAAAAGAATGCGTTAACATGGAGGTAGATTTAGGGTAAAGAAAAACCAACAGCCTCTGTGACTGGTCAGTCCTGCCAGGTGGAGCTTACAGTTTCAATATGGAAGGCCCAATAATTAAACAAATATTTGCAAACTAAAAGTATTACTACATAGTGCTCATCAAATTACAGACTTTATGAGAGTAAAATAAGAACCTCAAATTACATTAGGTCTTCAAGGGTCTTAATGTGAAAATAAATTGCCCCCAGACGCTGCTGATTAATTCTGGGCATTGATCTCTCCTGCAAGTTCATCTGGGCAAAGAGCAATGAACAATTCCAGTCCTCTTCCCACATACTACCTCCATCACTACCCTATATTTTTCCTCACTGGACAACACAGGAAATTATTGAGAACCATTCCAAATCTCAAAGCTACATAAATGTGTACTATACAAGTGACTTAAGAAGAAACTAGGCTGACAGCCGCTCATCAAAGTGCTTTTTCTGATGCAGTCAAGATTTTTCCACCCTTTCTGCACACAAGTTTTGCTTAAGTTCCAGTGTCCACATAATATGAACTAATAAGAATGTTGAGAAAGCAGTGTTAATTAAAGTTAAGGAATGGTCCTGAAGTATTTTTCTGCTGACATAAAGGTTTTAAAATTTCCAACTATCTCACTACCTAAATGATACAATTTTGAATGTTTGAAATGTTTTCTTTTGAGGAGTGGACATTCATGACAAATACTGAGATTGAGACACTTGTATTTGCATAATGTGCTCAAAAAACATTCCTAAAACCACATTCATCTGAACACAATGTAATACATGCTTTACAAACGACTTTTTACAGACACATTTAGTTGTTGTTACACCCTTTGGGGAGTTAACTGAGAAAGTGTTCCTGTAACACTCTCAAATGTTTGAGATGCATTTTTTAGAAATTAATATCTTATTGGCATGTGCATTATATTACCTCATATGCTTTCTTGCCTAAAACTTGATGAAATTTTCAGGGGAAAAGAAAGAATAAGAAAGAGTAGCCTATCAGCTATGTAATATCAAACTGCTTAGTGTTATGAATCTAAGCAAGCAGAGTTGGCACAGCATGTCTTAATAGTGAATTACATGCCAGAGGAACAGAATGCTTGCGGGATTCAAACAAATTTGGTGGGGGTGAGGGAGGATTGGTGGATAAAAACCAATGGTTTTGTCATATTACGAACATTGAGTAAAAGGCAGAACTATAAAGACAAAGAGAAGAAGGGTTTCTTGGTCTCTCCCTGTCAGTGAAATCTATGCATTCCAACTTTTTTCCTTCTGACAGCAAATATTTTCACACTACACTTTGCAGAGCCAGAGTAGAAGATAACTAACTCTTTATATCTGCAAATTCCTAAAACATGGACCAATTCCAGTCCTTTTTTGTGAGGCTTTTGTTATCATGAAAGGATTTCAACTTGCATATATTCCTCTTGCAGCAAAAGTCATTTTTGTAGATTCCTTTTTCTCTCCTCTTCAGGAATGTGCAGTTTGGGACATCTTGCAAAATCATATGTGTGTATTGATGGATATATTTTGCTTTAGATTTGACATATGCGGATAGCTTGCTCTCCCAGCATCAAATAAAAATAAAGACAGATTTCAATTTTAACTTTAGTATAGTTGGCCAAAAACATTGAAAAGCAACTGAATTTAATTAAGCACAAAGATAGTGATTGGAAGACATATTGGGCATGGAGTTTGAGTAAATCTATCAATTTTATAATTCTCAGCCATGTGAACAATAGCTAAATGTTCATTTAATAGCTGTAAACTGAGGGCCATGAATGATTCAGCTTACTTCCTGCAAACTTGTAGTCTATGGAACCAAGTGAAACTGAAATGTAGTGGTTGCAATTTTAGCACTCTCTGATGGGTGATTAATTTTTAGCAAATTGACTTTAGGAAAAAAAAAATGGGTTTTAGTATTCTCTTAAGTTTAGAGAGAACAAAGCAGGAATTTAGACTCTCATAGGGGTGGGGTGGGAAAATCAAAGAGAATCAAGACTACAGAAATGAGGGACACCTGGGTGGCTCATCGGTTGAGCATCTCTCTTCGACTCAGGGCGTGATCCTGGAGTCCCTGGATCGAGTCCTGTAGTGGGCTCTCCTTGAGGAGCCTGCTTCTCCCTCTGCCTGTGTCTCTGCCTCTCTGTGTCTCTCATGAATAAAGAAATAAAACCTTAAAAAAAAAAGATTACAGAAATGAATAAAACCTGATGGTGCTCTTCTTTATATTTTACAAAGTATTCTTAAAAGCAATGTCTCAGTTTGAGAGTATGGTTTATAATAATCCGTTAAATAATCCATATTGTTTGTAACAATAATCCATATTGTTTACTAACCCAGATACTAAATAGGCAGTTGTTAAAATGTTTCAAGAGGGATATTGAGTTTGCTCCCAGATTCTCTTCTTCACCAAAATTTGGTGAACTGATCTGCTAATAATTCCTACGACAGAATGGAGAAAAGAGCCCCCAAGTGATACCAGTATTATGATTTTTGCTATACAATATTCCAACTCTGGAAGGAAAGTTGGCTATTAGTTAGGATGTCCCAGTCTTTATTCTGAAAGTAAGTTTATGTGGATTCTTTGTCCCCAAATATAAGTCAGGAAAACAAAGAGAAAGAGGCATAAATAGAAGTGGTTATGATTTTGACAGTACTTAGCTACTAAGGACCCTGACACAGAATAAGACAGCTCAGATTATGGAAAGAGTCCTGTGACCACTCTTAGGACCCCTGCCCAGGCCAGTGATAGGCTTTAACAGTCTCCTATGGCTTGGGAATATTGCCTGTCAAATATTGAAGAATTTTTCAAGTCAGTTGGTAGCTTAAAATAGGCCACAGTAGGAGTGTTGGCACAACACAAATTGTCCAATATTACAAATCAGGGTATGTTCTTTTTCAAAAATCCAGTTTATCAGCACAACACTGCTTGTGCTTGAAGAATAGGCTAGGCACCTCTACATTAATCCAGTGTTAAACTACTACAATCTATTTGTTAGGATGAGGCTGTAACTTTCCAGCAATTGCTACTGAATATTGCTGTTTAGGTTGTTGGTCACTGGTTAAGAACTCTATGTAATCAATCAGCAGTGATTTTGGCTAGAAGGGATATATTTCATACAGATCATAGAATATTTATTTAAAATAATTGGTCAAGGGGCACCTGGGTGGCTCAGTCAGTTAGGTAGCCACCTCTTGATTTCAGCTCAGGTCATGATCTCAGGGTTGTAAGATCGAGCCTCCCAACAGGCTCCATTCCCAGTGTGGAATCAACATGAGATTCTCTCTCCCTCTGCCCCTCCTCTCTCTCTAAAAACTTAAAATAATTTATTAAAAGTGGAAGGAGAAAAATCTACAAAGGCAAGAGGTACCTAGATAGGTAGTCATCCTAGGATAAAGTCTGGTTTGTTAACCGTTACTTGGCAAAGTTCATCTCCTAGAGATTTGGTTCCTTGTTGCCCAATTTAAAAAAGTAATCTTGTCAAAAAAAAATCTTGTCAAAATATGCAGTTCCTTTAACTCGTATAATTCCAATGCCAGGAACTCACAGTAAAGGAAATAACCAAATATGTCAACAGTGACAAACATTTACCATGTATTCCTGGGAAAAATGCATAGAAATCTGGTTTAGTTAGTTATGATACATTAAAAAATGGAATATTATACAACTATTAAAATACTGATGTCAATTATTTTCCATTGACCTAGAAAGTTGTTCACAACAAATGCTAGGTGAGTCAAAGAAGGTGAAAAATAGTGTTCATAAAATGATCCTCTTAAAATAAATATGATTAGAAAAAATGCTAGGGAAAAAATACACCCAAATGTTAGCAGTTGTTATTTTAGAGATGGAATTTGAGTAATTTTGTTTATATTTATATTTTTCATTTGTTTTCACAACTTTTTCTGTAATGAAAAAATATGACATTTATTTATTTATTTATTTATTTATTTATTTTAATTTTTATTTATTTATGATAGTCACACACAGAGAGTGAGAGAGAGAGGTAGAGACATAGGCAGAGGGAGAAGCAGGCTCCATGCACTAGGAGCCCGACGTGGGATTCGATCCCGCATCTCCAGGATCGCGCCCTGGGCCAAAGGCAGGTGTTAAACCACTGCGCCACCCAGGGATCCCTATAAGACTTTTTAATTGCTTATTATAAATAGGACAATATTTTGAAAATGTAAAACTGATCTAACTTTCCTTTTTCCTCTTGAAACTTGTTGGCCTATAGCCAGTCTTTTAGTATGGGCACAGGGAAGAGGCTAAAAACATCCAGAAGGAGAAAGACATGACCGGAGAATTTCCTGTCAGACAAGAGAGAAAAGAAAAAAGTCTTTGTAATTCACAACAGATTCTGGGTGTGGGAGGAAAACAGAAGGATGGACAGAAAGTTTCCTTCATCTACATGTACCCATTCCATGCTCAAATTGCAAGTCCCTAAGAAAAAGTGTTAAATAGAGAAGAGAAGATTTAGAGTAGAGAGGCTTTGTCCCATTTCCTGTTTTGGATAATAACTGGATCATTGCAAAACTTAATGGCATATAATGTGTTTAATGTCAATATCAGACACACACAGTGGTCTCAACTCTAATTGAATCCTATATGAAGTTATCTTTATTTTTATGCTTGACTTATGATGGGTATACTTGGCTTTGTTTTAAATTTATATCATCAAATTAAAAGCATAATCGCTGTAAGGCAAAGACATATTTGATGCAGTGATGAAGCAGAAATAATCATCTAAGTTACATAGCTTGGAATTTTTTAATTAAGGAGAGCCATCTATGCATCACTCTAGATATTAATCTTCAACCTTAGAGACAAAGTATTGCCAACAAAAGATAACACATAAGATTTTTCATACCAAGATAGAGGATGTGACACATTTTAATTAATCAATTCATTAGTTATATGACAGTTTAATATGGAGCTTGGGAGCCTTTGTAAAAGCAAAATTAATTATATCTGCCTGACTTTCATCTCTTTATAGAGTATAATTCAACTATTGGGAATAAAAGCAATATACATCATGCTTTATGTTAGAGCTTCTTGGGGGTGAGAAAAATATAGTTTAATTATTTAAAAAATATACACAAGCATTAGATTTTTGAACCTATCTCTTTTCCAGAAGTTTGAAATCATTTGGTGATTACTATGGAAGACCTGTAGAGAGGAAAAATTTTTATACATTAATGTGTTCAGGAAACGATGGAACAAAAAAGAAAAAGAAAAATAAGGAAAAAATGTGGTTCATTTAACCACTGCTGAGTCAAACAAAAAAATTTCAATGTTTTGGAAGCACAATTGAAATTATCCCAGTTTTTAATAAACTATTTTTCCTATAACTGTCTCTATGCTGTTTGGTGTATCAATGAGGATGATTTGGGTTTCAAGAAGAGTTAACTAATTTATCAACATAGAAAATTTATTGCTGGGCCTCAGAAGATCTCCACCATTCTTGCTGAATTCTCTTTTCCCTTAATTTATCTTTACTCATGATCCATTTTAGAAACATTCCCTGAACATGGCAAAGACTATCAGAACAAGAGAGATGTTTCCTTCCTGGCCACTCATTATGAGAGTAGGAACTCCAGGAATGTCCTTCATCTTCATCTGAATGGGGTCACTGCCTACTACTAAATAATTCACTAATGAGATTAATATGGCCCCCATTTGGCTTCAGATTGACAGGGTTTACCACTCAGTCACATGGGATGGCAGTGGACAATATCAGACCTCTGCCACTATTATGTAAGTGGCAGATATAAATACCTTCATAATGACATAATTTAATTTGTCATTAAATTCAATGAAATATTTCACAGTTCCAGCTTACTTTTTCCCTTCCTCCAATTAGCAAGTTCATACTTCAGAAATGTCATTTAGACTTATAGATGTAAATATGAGTTATCATTTGATCATTTTCCATACTAATCAGGGTAGATCAGGCCATGCTATAACCCCAAACTTCAATGGCTAACACAATGTAATTTTATTTCTCATGTCTATAAAGTCCACTAAAAATTTGGGTGACTCTGTCCACCATACAATGACTCAATATACCAGACTGTTTTATCCTTTTGACATCGTCACCTGAAAAATGGCCTCCACAGTCAGATCTTGGAGAATGTGGTAGCCAATGAAAATTTCACATGAGATTACCATTGCTGCAGCCCCAGGGAGACATACTTCACTTCTTTCTCTTGCTCTAGGTCATAATCATATGGGCCCATAGCAGAAGAAATTTCTCTTATTCCAGAGAAAGGATAACAGACATCATTGAACAGCATTATTTTCAATCACTCTACTCAATAAATGTTTCTCTTTCCTGTGTCCATATCTACTCATTGTACTTTATATAAATACATATTTTTATTTTGGATTTAAAGTCTTTGAAATAGAATATTTTCAGTAAATGTGGACATTTGTGTTGACTATCCAGGGACTTGACACCAACAAGTTGATTCCTTTTTACTTAGAAAAACTTTGATATTGGATTCCAGCTAGCTTTATCAAACAAATGGAGTTTGAAAGTGAACTAAAATTTATAAGATGTTTACTGACAAAATAATCCTATTTTAGGGTAAGAAGAGAATGTCATTGAGAATTAAATAACCTGAATATGATCACATATCTAATAAGTGGTACTTCTAAAATATAAAATTAGAGCTTCCTGAATATAAAGTTGAAATCATTTCCAGAAAAGCTCGTGACCAGTCTTGCCTTTTGGAGTTTAACTAATCTGTACCCAAGGTGCCTTGGTAGTTTTGATTTGAAATGTGAAACATTGTCTTTTAAAATATTGAATTTTGATAAATGTCCCAGTGGATATCAATAGTCATTGAGGTTTATCCTGCCTTTGCCAAAGTGCTAACCTGAATGAATGTTATTCAGTGATAGGAGTTTGATGTGATAGCAGTAATTAAAAAAAAAAGGAACTATTCAAAAATCCAGCTTGTAAGATATGTAATTCCTAAACTTCATCATCTTACTTTGACCTTCTCATCTCAACTCAGTGATACAAGTTACATGAAATTCACTTTTATGAGCTTGAAGTTCAAACTCTAGTTTAAAAAGTTGCATGGGAAAATAGTTATTGAGGTATGACTCATTTGAGGAGTCTTGGTTTTCTCATTTAAAAAAAAATCTACTGAGAAAAAAATATATTGCTTCCTACAACTTCTGAAGAATGTATTGAGTTTCTCACGCTGCTGAAACTCTTTTGGCATAGTCAGCTTTTTGTTCTCTACATTATTTGATGCATGGAAGCCAGTGCTTAAAGCCAAACCGTTTCTAAGTAAGACAAAGCTTGACATTTTCTTAAATAGACTATGAGGTCGTATCTTGCATTACGACAATAGACTGATCATTTCAGCATTTACCAGAGCTTGATTTTGATATACTCTTCTCTCTAGATCTTTTTCTTGGAATTATAGGTAGTTATACTTTTAAAGAGAAAAAAAATTGTGTGTGAGTCGGAAATATGGCACTTAAAGAGCATTATTAATGATTCATAAAGTTGGAAGAGACCTTGCAGTTATCTAGTTTTTGGTTAACATATGCTAAGGTCCTTACTTGGTTGTAAGTTATATATTCATCAAAGTTGCAGTCTTTCTTTCAGATTGTTGTATCAGCTACAAAAGAAGGCTCTAGAAATATTTCCGGGTATAAATTTTGGTTTAATTGTTCTGCTATGTTATCATAGTAATAGTCCTACTTTGTCTAGGAAACACAGTAAGAACTGTGCAGTTGACTATATGAAGAAAATATCAACTCAGCCAATAAACCACCCCTACACACACACACACACACACACACACACACACACACACAGGTTAGAAAGAACTGTGGGTAAAAGGCATAGAATGCAAGGGGTACATCAAAGATTACAGGGGGGAAAAAGGAATCAGAAAGTATATCATGGTGAAGTTGATTGTCAAACATCTACAAGTTCAGAAGAGGCTTCTTGTCCATTTCTTAAATGGGGAATACAAATCACTTTCTCAAAAGAATGGGGCTAATTTAAATATCTGATAGCCAAAGATACTGGATGGCTATCTCCTTTTCTCACTGCCTTTTGCTTTTTTGTTTTACATATTCTGTGTGCAGATTGGAGCCACAGGCAAAATCCACCCTCAATGATCTTACTAGGTAGAAGCTACAGGACTTGGCATTTCTTATATAGTCATAAATATAGGTAAATCTTCAGTTTAAAAATGACTCATAGGTCTCTGATTATTCTTTGCAGATACAGTGGTGGTTCAATTAGCATATTTTTAACTAATTCACCAGGAAGTTACTTGTAGTCCTTCCAGCCACTGAATATACCAGCATATGGAAATACCATGGATGGAATAAGGGATACCACCCAGGAAAGGAAAGCAAATCCAGTGCCAGATTTTGGATGAAGAAATTGAGTATATAAGATGCAAAGAAAAGAGAAAAGCAAATACAATAGAGTGGCCAAAACAGAATTCAAATATTGAAAAGCGAAGGATGGGGGAAATAGGACATATAGTATCTTTCCAAAAATTTTCAAACCCAGAATCATGCCGAGGGAATTGGCAAAAGATGATCTCTCCTTCCTTATTCTCACCAATCACAGGGGATTGGACCAGGGATGAACTGAGCATCTCATCTAGAACTGACATACTCTGGGCTGACTAGAATTCTATGGGATAGATTAGTATGAAATCTTGTTCTAAAAAGCTTTTTGTTAGATAAACATGACTAAATTTTAACAATTCAAGTTTTTACAAAGATTTCACATGCCAGATTCTGAGATTCCTGGGAGTTTGTGGGAGAAGCTAAACAAGTAGGGATGCCTGGATGGCTCAGCAGTTGAGCATCTACCTTTGGCTCAGGGCATGATATCGAGTTCCTCTGTCTACGTCTCTGCCTCTCTGTGTCTCTCATAAATAAATAAAATATTTTTAAAAAAATAACAAGTAATAGAAGTAAGCAGAAGCAATACTAAATAAGAATCAGGAAGTAAGTAAAGATATAGGGAAACGAAGTGATGGCCCTGTTAGAAATAGTGGCTGCAGAGACTGAAAGAAAATAGACACCACATTTGGGGAGTGGAGAAGGTCACATGACCAGCTCCTTTTGCTGAGCTATAACAAAAGAAGGTCTCAAGTCAGGTTCTATGGAAAACAGACTTTGATATACAGATTTAAGAGCAATTTGCTTACAGTGGAGTCCTCTTAGAAACAGTTCCTTTGGAGGAGTCAAAGACAGGAGGTTAGACAGTGAATTAAATTAAATTTCAAAATTTAATGAAATCAAAATATTCTCAACAAGATTTCTGGAGCAAGATGGAGCTTCCTGAGTTATTCCTCCTTAAGGCAAGGGGTCAATGCTTTGGTTCCAGCCAAGGTGAAATAACCCTATCCTTTAAGATTCTTCCTGCTACAATTTAAAACTCTTGGAAATAAAAAAAAAATAAAAAATAATAATAGAAGAGTCTCAAAGATTAAAGAAGTAGGCAGACTGCCTAGGGACACTGGGACTTGAGGAATCCACAGTACTCTCTTCCTTGGGTTTTATTATTACCTCCCATACATCCCAGACAGTGTGCCATGCGGGAGTTTAACCTGGCATTGCCAACAGACTGGTCAAAAGCAAACAAAAAGGGTCAAAGAAAAGCTGATTTTCCTTAGCCAAAGGACAAGGATGGCTTCATAGCAGAAAACTATTTCTGTTTTGGTAATCACTGCCCTACTCCAGCCAAACACCAAGAAAAACTACAGTATACCCTCTTCCTACCTACATTTTTCAATGGGGCTAACTGAGGAGCTGACCTGAGTACCACTCTCCTATCTTGTAAAAGCAGGCAGCAGGACTCCAATTTTTCCATCCAGTGATGTCAGCAGAGCTCAGAAGAAACTAGTCTTCTATTCCCAGCCCGGCAGAAACAGGTGGAGCTTTCCAGCTGGGTGTCGTCAACAGGGAAGAATAGAGCTGGTCTTCTGAGCCTCTCCTGGTGGTAAGCAAGTGATAGCAATCCAATTCACCCACTGGGCTAGTGTAGGAGGGACCAAACAGGACACAGAACTCAACCCCTATTTGCAGAAGCAGATAGTACTGCTTTGCTTCTCCCACAAGTGTGGACTCATTGGGGTCCACTAAACAATAGCCTCTACCTCCACTCAGAAGTGTTTAATGAGATAATACAGAGGAAGGCTATTTACCACTAAGCCTCCACCCCACATGTTTACCACATCCTCTACCTCCATCCTTACTCTCCCTTCCCCCATATCAACAGAGTTGAGTGGGGAACTGAACTTCCAACTCCAAATGGCATCAAAAAGCCTGAACGAGGCTATGTGAAGCAGCACTGCGCAACACTTTACCCCCATCTTGTGCCAGTAAGGCCTAGAGGGGAATGAGCCTCCACTTCTGCCCAGCATCAGTGAGACAGAACAAGGTAGGCAGACACGAGGCTTGTTTGTACTATACTTCCTCCATTCTCCTCCCCTGGTACCAGTGGGGCTCAGCAGGAAGAAAGAGAAGCTTACACCCCATCTGTCAGCAGCAAAGTAATGTGAGTCTGTTCTCTACTTTAGCTTGTGACATACAAATGGCCAAGCAGGAAACGGAACATACAAACCCTCTAGCCCCTGCACTATACATTAACAGATTAAAATAGCATCTAGAGTCTCATCATTTAAAATGTTTAGGGTGCAATAGAAAATCCCTCATGAGGGATCCCTGGGTGACGCAGAGGTTTAGCGCCTGCCTTTGCCCCAGGGCGCGATCCTGGAGACTTGGGATCGAATCCCACGTCAGGCTCCCGGTGCCTGGAGCCTGCTTCTCCCTCTGCCTGTGTCTCTGCCTCTCTCTCCCTGTGTGTGACTATCAAAAAAACAAAAAAACAAACAAACAAAAAAAAAAAAACACAACACACACACAAAATAAAAAAGAGAACCCCTCATGATACCCAAAACTAGGAAAGTTCAATTTGAATGAGAAAAAAAAAAAAAAACACATTAAACAGACGACACCAACACAGAGATAGTCAAATGTTGAGGTTATCTGGCATAGGTTTTAATGCAGCCTTCATTAAAATGCTTCAACAAGCACTTGCACATTTTATTGAATGACTGAAAAAATCTCAACCAAACAAACAGAAGTTATTAAGAAAGAATTGAATGGAAATTGTGGAATTGGAAAACAATAACCAGAAAATAAAACCTACTTGTTGAATGGACTCAGTATTAAAGATGACAGGGGCTGGAACCAGAGAACTTGAGAAGACGTCAATAGGATTTCTTCCATCTGAACAACAGAAAGAAAAAGTGGCTAATATTTGCATTATCGAAGTCCTAGAAGAAGAAAGTGGGACTCAAAAAAGCATTCAAATTTTTAAAAAGGCTGAAACCCCCCCAGCTGTGAAATTCATAAACTTATGATTCAAAAACTGATCGAACCCCAAAGGTATAAACCCAAAGAAACCCATGCCAAAATACGTAAAAGTCAAACTTCTATAAACTAAAAACAAAGAAAAAATCTTGAAAGCAGTCCAAGAGGAATGAGCATTAATTATAGGGGAGCATCAACTTGAATGATAGTGATTTTCTAAAACTATGGAGATCGGAAGGAAGGGACACAGCATTTTTCAAGAAGTGAAAGAAAAGAACTGTCAACCATAAACTCTATATCCAGCAAAATTATCTTTCAGAAGTGAAGGGGAAATAAAGTTATTCTCAGATGAAGGAAAACTAAGATTTTTTTGGCTAGAAAACCTATCACTAAACAATGGCTAACGGAAGTCATCTAAAAAGACAAGAAACAATAGCAAAGAAGACTTAGAAATTAGACCAAAAATAGATATTCCCTGGTAGGCCTTAATATGCAAATGTGATTTCCCAATTCTTCCCCTCTCTCCTCTATGCCCATTTATATGGGTCTTTCTTAATTCTTCTTTTCCCTAACCTTCCAATCTTTCGCTTTCCAGGCTACTGACCAAGTAGCCAACAGATTGTTTACTCTATAACCTACCCATAAGGCTTCTGGCTTTCACAATTAGTCTTTAATTGGGGGTTAATTATTCTCAGCTTTCCATGGTTCTCTTCTTAGGCATCAATTTCCTCCAACGACCATCAAATTCTATAGTCCTTATACTTACTATCTTACTTCCATTTCTCAAAAACTTGGCATGTTACCCTTCAGTTCATTCTCTTCCACCATTAGTCTGCCCCTGCTCACAGTCCTGGTGTTTTACAAATTGTACCATTAGAGCTTTGAGGATCTATCCATATTCTACATACCACCCTTGATGAGATTTTCAGAGCCAGCTGGCAGGAGAGTGACCTAGCTTCAAAATCTCCTTTTAAAAATTTCCTTTTCAGGCCACTCCTGGTACTAATTGTTTTAGATTATATCCCCAGGAAACAGATTTTTTTGAAGATATTTATTTAGTTATGCATTCATTTAGAAAGTAAGAGTAGACACCAGGGCAGAGGGAGACTGAGAGAGAATCCCTACTGAGCATGGATCCCAATTCAGGGCCTCCCTCACCACCCTCACCACCCTCACCACCCTGAGATCATGACCTGAGCCAAAACCAAGTCTGAGGCTTAACCACCTGAGCCATTCAGGAGCCCCAGGAAACAGATTCTTAAACAAAGACTCAGATGCAGGGATTTTATTGGGGAGTAATTGCAAAAACAACACCAGTAGAGAGTGAAGGAAATTCCATCTGTAGGGCAGGGTGAAGGTGAACACTGATGTATTTGCAATGATCTCCAGAGGAGCTCTGCTGAATGGCTGGCCCTACAGTGTGGTCATCACTATGCCAAAGGGCCAAGATTTTCTACACTACTTCAGTGAGTCACAGGGCAAGCCCCCTGGGAGGGGGATGATTTTTTTTTTTTTTTATTCTGCATAGCAGTTCCCCTCAGCTGACCTCAATTCCTAAGAGCAAATCATCTAGTTATCAGCAGCCACTCACCCAGTAACTGGGAGAGTGGGTACCTCCACCCTGAATGGGAAGTCTGAAGTTACCACAGAATCCACTTCAACCTACCTGTGGTTATGAACTACTTTTCTGTTTCCAGACCATATCCCAGCCTCCTAAATTCCTGACGGTATAGGGGTATAGGTTTTTAACAGAGTTGGCCGTATCTTTATTTCTGTGTGTGTCCTTGTGACTAACTCCCATAACAAGCTAAACAAGTAAGTTTCAATAAATGTTACCCTCCAGTCTTTTTTTATATCACATATGTAGTTATATTCTTGTTAAAATGAGTGAAAATGAAGTAATTTTATGCTGGGAGGTGATGAGCTATTAAAAAAAAAAGTTTTCTGGTATCTATATAATTCCTGCCAAAAAACAGTGTATACAAGATTTTCCAAGGAGCTAATGTCATATTTTCCTATTTATGATTTATGGATATCAAGGAATGAAAGAGGCATGACTGTTAATAATAAACGTGTTCTTACAGATATTTAGAGAAGGTGTAGAAAATAGAAATGTTGTTAATGGATTCACTTGCTATGTTATCCAGAAACTATTATGCCACTAAATCATCAACATTTGTCAAATGTCAAGAGGCTCAATTAATGAAACATTTTTACATTTTGCTTTAGGAGATTAGCAAAAAGCAAAATTTCAGTGCATTTTGTAACTGTGTAGAAAAGACATTTATTTCCTTGTGTAAGTTTCATGTGTGTTTCTTCATTGATATTATAGAAAATACTGCATCTTCAAATATTTTTGAAGCATTTATTAAATTAGAAGGTGCATCTGTATTGCAGGTCTTCAGCTGTTTGAATTTTCTGACTAAGCCCATTCTTGTAATCAGCAGGCAGTTCACCAATCAGAGCATTACTAGCCCCTCAGAGGCCACCTCCACCCCCTTGTGACTCCCATCAGACTGCTTCTCCCAGTAGTGAACTGATGATGTCCTACATTCTAACAACATAGATTCACTTAGCTTGTTTTTGTAATCTTGTAAATCATATAATAGTGCTGTTCCGGGTCTAACTTCTTTTCACTCAGCATTATGTTTCTGGGATTCCTCCACATAATCTGCTGTATTTCAGGCGACACATTTTAATTGATCACTTGCTTTGTGCCTAGCGCTGCTCTAGCTCCTCATCATTCATCTGTGGCCTATATCTCCATTACTAATGATCTTTACTGAGTATTCATAATTCCTACTGAATGAATAATTAAAAGCCAGTTCAAAAATTTGATGAAATCCCTTGAAAGATCCAATCTGGTAAATAGAGTTATATTTTAGCTGACCAAGTTGGCCAGAGCTCATTTTTCACTTGGCTGCATTTGAGTTTGTAGTCACCACAAAATGGAGAACAATGTATATGGAGCCTGCCAAGCTGAAAACAGCAGATATACACTTTATTTTTATGGTAAAAAATACATATATTCTTTCCAGAAAATAGCTACTAGCAAGATTTATTGTTAAAGTCAACAGAATTTGGAAACTCATCTGGAAACTCTAACACAATGTCTGCTGAGTCTAGAAAACAGTGCTGAGATTCAACAAAACAGGGGATTGTACCACGGAGCGTAAAATCACGTATAAATCCATTCCATGTATCAACAGCCATTTGAAATAGGTAGCCAAAGTGCTTTTTATAGACTGGAAAATTTTTCACCAGATAGCATAGCTTATAGTGTTTATTAAGGAGAGAGTATCAAGGTTTCCAATACTTTTTAAAGTATTTAACATGCAAGGTACTAGGGAGGGTCTATCAACTTAGTAAAAGAAAAGGGATAAGTTGTTCTTCTACACAAGTGTCTCACTCTACTGTGCAAAGGGCACATGACTAAAGAACCCCCTGTAGCCTTCATTCAACTCTATTTCATCAAGAGAGAGACTGGTAGGAGGCTAAGGGGGTTAGAGGATAGACCCAAACTCAAGGTGAACAAATATTAGTATGTAATTAGATTATGTCATATCTTCAGAATGTATTTTAAAGAAACAATAAGCCAAGTTGCGGTTTACATGGGTGCAGGAAGCCACTTACTCTGGGTTATGAAGGACATTTCAGAGATTCAGGGAAGCAGATCTGAAGGAATTCAGAAAGACAATGTTGGGAATGTGAGAATGACTCGAAATAGCATTCCAGAAAATGGGACCACAGTGTGAGGAATCCCTGTCATGGGAAGTCCAAAATGTGGATAAAAGCCAATGAGACTAAAGTATAGAGCACACTGGGAAAAGTGAAATGAGGTTGGTTTGCTAAGCAAAGGAAATATGCTGCAATAACGTATAGACCATGTAAAGTATCTTAGCCTTGATCTTGAGAGTAATAAGAACCCAAAGACAGGCTTTAAATAGCGGAGTTACACAATGAGATTTGCATTGATAAAGGATGAGTATAGATAATAGATTGAAAAAAGACAAGAAGAGACAAAGTGAAGTACATGACCTAGTGTACCTCTATGAGGTGGTCGTGTAGCAGAATACAGAAGAAATGCTAAGTGAGGAATACAGAGAAATAGGTTTCAGGCTTTTCCTTCTAGTGGAAAATTAACTCATCGAAATTTAAGTTCTTTGTTTTTTTTAAGATATTTATTTATCCTTGAGAGACAGAGAGAGACAGAGAGAGAGAGACGCAGAGACACAGGCAGAGGGAGAAGCAGGCTCCCTGCACGGAGCCCGACGTGGGACTCGATCCCCCGTCTCCAAGATCATGCCCTGGGCTGAAGGCTGCGACAAACCGCTATACCACCGGGGCGGCCCAAATTTAAGTTCTTCAGTTGTAAACTATAACTATCACATCATACAATTATGAGAAGTAAATGGGACAATATAAACACCACAACAAAAAACAAAGAACATGGATAGTTGTTATTCTAATTATTAGAAATCTAAACAACAGGGGTGCTTCGGTGCCTCAGTGGATTAAACATGTGCCTACAGCTTAGGTCATGATGCCAGGCAGGGTCTTGGGATTAAGCCCCACATTGGGCTCTCTGCTCAGCAGGGAGTCTGCTTCTCCCTCTCCCTTTCCCCCACTCCCCCCACCCCCGTTCATTCTCTCTCTCTCTCTTTCTCACTCACTGTCTTTCAAGTAAATAAATACAGTCCTTTAAAAATTAAAAAAAAATTAAACAATATGTAAAATGACTTCAAGCTTGCCAATAGGATCACAGGTATAGTTAGATCAGAAGGTTTAAGGATCTCAGTTTCCCTAAAGAAATATTTTAGCAACTCACTAAAAATAATCAAGAAATTTAGCTTAAAACCAAAAACTTTTATAGCTCATTAATTGGTGATATATGAAAAGAACTATACACACACACT